GATAAGTTCAGGGAAGCATTGACTTGCTTTGGATGCACAAAGATTCAGTCAGATCATACACTCTGTGAAGTTAAGGGGTTCACTTGTGTTAGTGCTAATAGTATATGTTGATGATATTGTAGTTACAGGGAGTGACTTGATTGAGATTAAAGACCTACAATAGGAGTTTGAGATTAAGTACATTGGAGAATTTAATTTTGTGTTGCTGATCAAAAAAAAAAAAAAAGAATTTAAGTATTTTCTAGGTATTAAGGTGGCAAAGTCCAAACATGGGATCTTCATTAGAAAATGTGTTTGACTTGTTATAGGATATTGGAAAATTGGGAGTCAAACCAACTAATACACTTATTGACTAGAACCATAGCATTAATTCTTTAGATGGTGCATTAATGAGGGATGTAGGAAGGTATTGGAGATTGGTGGGCCACTTGTTATACTTGTGCATGACACGTCCAAATTAGACCTGTTCATGGGCTGGGTAGTCCAATGGCCCGACCCAGCCCGACTCGTTATTTTTTGGGCTTGGACAAAACTTTAGGCTCATGGGTTTGGGCTCGGGCTTTACATACTAGGCCTGGTCATTTTTTGGGCTGGGCTCGGGCTTTCTCAAATAAGCCCGACTCAGGCCCGATCTCAGCCCGATACTATTACATATAATAAAAAGTATTTATGTTATATATAATAAATATATATAATATTTGTTTCTTAAATTATTAATAAATATTAATTTATTATTAGGAAATACAAATTAGTTTATTAATTTATTAAATTATTACTAATTTAATATAATATTAGTTTATAAAAGTACACTGAAAGTAAGACATTTTATGTACAGGTCAGGCTTTGGGCTTGGGCTTGCAAAGCCTGGCCCGAGCCCGGCTCGGCCCGACCCGTGAACAGGTCTAGTCCAAATATATCTTATGTTGTTAGTGTTGTAAGTTAGTACATGCATGCTCCTTGGGTTCAGCATTGGACAACTATTAATAGAATTCTTGCCTACTTGAAGAAACATCTAGGTAGAGGAATACTCTTTACTGATCATGGACGTATGAAGCTAGAAGCCTATACAGATGTAGACTAGGTAGGATGCTTAGATGATAGGAGGTCTACATCTGGATTCTACACCTTTGTTGGAGGAAACATTGTTTCTTAGAAAAGTAAAAAAAAATGGTCAGTTGTGGCCCAGTCAATTGTAGAAACCGAGTATAGATCAATGGCTCATGGTGTCTCAAAACTCCTTTGGATTCGGTTCTTATTGGGTGAGATTGGAATTGTTGCAAATGAACTTATGATGTTGTATTGTGATAATCAAGTTGCAATCAACATTACCCATAATCCAATTCAACATGATAGGATGAAGCATATTGAGTTAGACATACACTTTAAGAGGAAGGGTGACATTAGGGAAAATTTGCTTGCCATGTGTTTTATCTGATTTACAGCTAGCTGATGTCTTCCCCATAGGAGTTGCAAAAAATAAGCTTGAACACTATTCCCAACTCGAGAGGCAGTGTTGAGAAATTGCTGTATTTTTAGTTTCTTATATTTATTAGAAGTTATTAGGCATTCGGCCCATGGGCTTTGTGTTTTTTAAGTTACGTTTCGAAGTTGTTTAAGTAACTGCCCTATTGAGAGCATATTGGGGATTGTACACAATTTATTCTTTTAATATAAAAGATAGTGGGAGGGGTGGCCAGATCTATTATTGGCCTTCTCTTCCCTCTTCTTCCATCTTCTTCTCTTCTTCTACTCCCAAAAAACTCTCTTTCTCTTGATTTTTCATAAATCCTTTTATTTCTTTTATTTTATAGTGAAACAAAGCTCAGCATAGGGGGGGGGGTGTCCTCATTGGGATTCACCATGGTAAGAAAGGAGGCAACACTAAGGTTTCATAATAAGAAATTGAACTAATACTCATTTATTGAAATATGCTTCAAATCTGGTTAAATTGACAAATATTACTGATGATAAATTGTAAGTCAAATTGTAAGTTTGAGAGTTCTTTACTTCTATATGCAACACTATATCAATAATTAGTGTGATCTCTCATTTATTTAATTTGATCTGATATTTCTCATGTAGTCCAGGTTGTTTGTTAGTTTGTTTCTGCCCTTTGCTAGCCTAATGAAGGATTAAATGCAAAACTAAGCTTACGAACAAATATCTTTAGAAACAAGAGATTTTAAAATAAGTAGGATTAAAACTGAATATATGCTATATAACTTTATGAATAATAGGAATGTAAATAAAATGTACACTCAGGATTGGAGACAAAGAGATAACTTAATGTGTTCCTTTTTTGGTACCTTGGTTTGTTAATCATTAACAAGGCAGGTTGGTTTGGTTCCAAGGCAAAACCTAAAACCTACCCTATACGGGTTTTACGATTTTGTAACCAGAACCTACTTAACCTACCTTGTGATGATTGGTTCCATGTAGGGCTGCAAATAAGTCAGATCATATCCGATTTGAATCTGAATTCAATCCAGTAAGAGTCGGATTCGGATATCTCCCTTGATCCTAACAAATCAGATCAAATCGGAAAAGTTGATCCATTTATTTAATGGATTGAATTCGAATATACCCCAATCTGATCTTCCATGACTCGATCTGATCCATTAATTATGAAATCTCTTATATTATATATTATTTATATATTATATATGTATATTCTATATATTATTTATATAACATATAATTATAATATAATATGTTATTTATATTATATCAACTTTTTTATTACAGTCCAAAAAATTGAATCGCATTCAGATTGGTTGGATGGTTTTGGCCTTAGTAGTTCCAAGGTTGGTTCCAATGTCTACCCATTGAACCTATTCTTCCTTTACCCAGAAAAAAAAGGAACCTATTCTTTAAAAAAATAACTTTTCATAATATTAAGAATAAAATTAGATTGGTATATATGTTGTTGAATTTAATACAGTACTATATGTTAAGCTGTGTTTTTTAAATTAGGAATTGTAAATGTGGCATAATTACATAATCACAAATTGTATTAATGTTAATATTACTATTATTATTGATTAGAAATCATAGTTATAAAATGTTTAAACTAGATTTTCAATATATATAGTTCTAAATTTATCATTATAATTTAAATTTAGTAGATATTATATTTTACATTACTTATTATACACATTCAAATATTCAATTAAAGACTTTCAGTTCACTTAAGTGGCTAAGTGGTCAAGTGAGACCATGGTCTTTGTAAACATGAGTGCTTGGGTTCAATTCTTCACATCCTTAAAGTACTTTGGAATTTATTCTAAGGCAAGTTCAGTTGCAAGACTGGTTTGACCAAGGCTAATCGAGGCCAATTCAGAAAGGGAAAGTTCCTAGACCCTGGAATTAGTCTAGGTGGATATTGGTTCCAAGAATTTGGACCTAAACCCTATCCAGTAACAGATTGGGTAGGGTTAGTTCAAGGCTGGTTCAATCTCAGTGCCATTCAGTTCCCGGTACAACCTACCCATTTACTCATCCCTACTAACATGGGAGGGATTGAGAAGGTTTGTTACTATATGAAGCAGAGTGTTGTAAGGTTAGTTATTGTGTGAAGCAGAATGTTGGGCAGTCAAGAAACAATGTGTTCAAAAAATGATTGTGGAAAAAATGCATATGATACTCAAGTGCAAAAGCTAAAAAGTTTAGGGTAAAAAATGAAGTCATTCAAAGGAGATCACCTACAGCACCCATAAGAAGAAGTGATTTGTTCCAAGTTGAAGGGGCTAAAAGTGCCAGGGGTAGACCAAAAATGACATCGGTCTAAGTAGCAAGAAGTGGTTTATAACATAACAATAGATGATACACATTCTATTCTCTATAACATAAGAATAGAATGATGCTGACGATGATACCCATTAATATCTAGTTCCTACTGATAAGCATATTAATATTATTTGAACCTGGGCAGTTTGCTTGACAAGTAAGAATCTTTACATGTAGACTACATTATAAGACATAAAAATATTGATGATTTTAAATTTTAACTTTTCGATCACCTTTCAAATGTATTTTTCTTGTCAAGCACCACATCAACCAAAAAATTAGAAAAATGAAAATAATTAATTAACCACTAATATTAATGTGATTTATTAAAAATTATTTATATACTTAAATCATTAAAATTAGTATTTTTAAGTGTACACTAAATTTACTTTTGTTAACTCTTCTACCATCTCCCAGCATTTCTTAAGTGTATCCCAATAATTCACACTTCATCATCATCATCATGCAAGCCTTATCCCAACTATATGGGGTTGGATATATGAATTCTGTTTTGTCATTATTCTGTTCTGTTTCAATTATTTCTTACTTTTTTTTTATTATAAAACCCATGTCCTTTTTTGTGTCTACGCCTTGCTCTTCAAGCCCTTCAACATGATAGATATAGGTTTGTATCTTGTTTATAATAGTGTTAAATTTAATGTTATTGATCTGTAGGTTTCTAAGAGTTCCTCTAATGTATCCCTGTTTATTTGTGTATCAAAATACGTATCCTAAGTTGCCGTACTGAAACATTTTGCGATGCCCATTGTGCATGTATCCCCTAATGCATCCCTGTTTATTGATCTGTGCTTTTCGACCCCAAAGGCAAGTCCAAAGGTTTCAGTGGTTTGTGCATTGTATTTTGTACCTTGATCAAAAGACTAGTGCGCAATTTTTGGAAGCATACAACTAAACCATGGACTTTGTCTGCAATTCTGCGTGATAATGGATAAAGGGCATAAACATAATAATGATTTAATTAACTGGATAATGAGTTTACAAGATTATGTGGTGTATTATAGCTTCCAATTGGCTATAAAGTGTTGGGATAAGCATTTTAGTTTGCTGCCAATACTTTGACAGGCGTTTTGTCAAATTGTATCATAATATTCTTACCCAAGTTTCTCATTGATCTTGTTTTTGGAATTTCTTGAAGTTCTCGTTTGGTAAGCAAATGTCTTTGGCCTTCTGACTTTTCTTTCTTGAAAATCTAGGTGGTAGTGACGCTTATTCAATTGATGGCAGTGAATCCTTCTTCAAATAGATTGAACCCATCTGACAAATACATCCAGATTTTGACTGTTGATGGCCATGAATTTTGGTTCATGGGGTTTGTATCGTATGACAAAGCACTCAAAAATCTAGGTGAGGCTTTAGAACATCGTGGTTCTCACTCCAGCGGAAGTCATTAGAACTAGGAATAACGCGTGTTTGTGTGTTGTTGATGTTGAAATGATATCTATACATACTGTCATACAACAACAAATTTCATTGGAACATCTTTTAATTAAATTACATCTCTTTGATATACGCAACTATATGAATTTGTTTATATTTGTGGATCATAAATGGAATCTATGGTTGACCAACTATCAAGTTGGATTTTGATTTTTTCTTTAGTCGGTCATCAATGAACAATTTTATCATTTTTTTTTAAATTTTTTTCTTAATTTTATTACTTTAAAATTGAAGTAAATAACTCAAATAGCCAATCTTCATTAACTCAAATAGCCGGTGATCAATTTCCATTGACACAAGTTTTTACAACAAATCATTCGCCATCTTCAAGTAAAAATTATGTTGGCGGTTTTTGAGACCTAGACCAACACTTTATGATCATTAGCATAGAGTTTCTGAAGAATGAAAATAAGTAATATGGGGCACAACTATTTTTTTGTGCTACACAATTTGTGTTATGGACCCATTTTTCATTCTAAAATGAATGAGACCGATGGTAAGAATTTTGCAACAAAACGCTCTTTATATTATTCATTCTTGCCTAGAATGATTAAGAATTGAAAGAATGTGGATATAGCAGTAAACCAAACATGGTGTTATTAACTCTATTTATATCTATATCTATATCCATATCTATATCTATTTGTATTTAATTATAATTTTATACCCATTTAATATAATTGCATTTACTCATTAATTAAAATAAAGGGGAATTTACCGCTCAGACCTAGGCATTTAAATTTACCTCCAAAACCACTGTACTTATTTAAAAAATATGCATTTTTATTCTTTTCAATTCCAAATCCCCGTCTACTCCATTGGCCCACATCCACGTCACCCTAATCCTTTTACATTATTATGAAATACCCAAAATGCCCCTTCTACCCTATGATTTTCACCTTTGTTAGAAAATATCCAAAATACCCCTCAACTAACATTTTGCGGTAAACGTAAATCTTTAATTTTTCTCTCTCCTCTCTTTTTACTTTTTGTTCTAGCCTCCGATCGAATGAATGTCCTTCTCAAGTTTTTCCGATCAACGGCAATTTTAGTAGCGTTTCCGACAGGTTATCGGTCGTTCTAGCCCTTTGGTTATCTTTACATGTCAATTTAAGAGTTAGAATAGTTGTATCTATAAAAAAAAAAAAAGAATTAGAATAGTTTTTTTTTTTTTCGGATTATGAAGAATAGTTGTTGCCTGCTATTTTATATGAACGAAGTTGGATTTTTTTTTGTTTTTTCTTCTTTTGTCGGAAATCTTGCGTAATATTCCTTTGTTTGATAATGTATTGTAGCCTACATGGTGATGGAGGGTGTTTTTTTTTTTATTTTTATTTTTTATTTGTATATGTCTATTAGCATATTAATACGTTTTTTATTGAAGAGTCATGAGTTCTCAGTCAACACAACTATCTTAAGTATGAGATTAAGTATTGCAAGTGCCAGAGGAAATGTATTATCTGCGTCTTTGAAACTCCATGTAATCCCAATGGGATATTCTACACTTGCCCTAGCAATCTTAAGGTAGTACTAAATACATTGGATGGATACTTGAAGGTTTAACACTCGTATTGAGTCTATTGATCTTTTATGCTCCCGATGTGAACAGGGCAACCTCGCATTTCCTAGGTAGTCGAACCATCCTCAGATAGAGGCACACATGGAAGGTGGTTGCAACTATTTTTGTTGGGCAACTCCCATTGGACTAGATGAGGAAGCTACTTCGCCGATGACACTTGGAGGGAATATTGGCGACCACCTTCTTGAGCTGGAGAGTGGGGTGTTTGATTATCGTAGACAGATGGGGTCTATTGTGGCATCTCAAGAAATACTATTGATTTAAGTTTATAATTATCTCATGTGTTGTTGTATTTCTATTTTCGTACATACTTAAGAGCTAGAAGTGAGTGGTCATGTAACGGCTATCCTTGGTGAACCTTACGTTCGAACAAATTTTAATATTTGGATCCAATGTATTTTGTATTGTCATAATGGCAATCAACTGAAGAAGCATTAATCGTGTTTATTGAAATTGAGTTCAACATTTTTTCAAATCCATTGAAATTGACAGAATTAATGTGTCTTAGTTTCATTGAAGCGTTACTTCCAGATGTCCTGCTGATTGACTCGTGCCGACCCCGGGTCTGGAAAAACTCGGACCTCAACAAACGAGGGTCGACAATGTCACCCTATCAAACAATGCATGCAGGATGATGTTGATCTATCTAGCTGAATTGGTATCCACGCACACTAGGGTAAAGAATGTTGTAGACTATGTTCACGTATTAATTGCCTGATTTCAAACAATGGGATTGATCCCAATTTATCTCAGTAGTGTGTGGTCGCACCACACACTAACCTATAAGATAGTGTAGATGGGTGATTAATATGTCATCAAAGGAACATAGAGTATGTGTACTTCATTGCATTGTAGAAGCAAACAAAGTGTTACTTTCTATAAGATTTCCAACCATCGCCCAATATAAATCATATACGCTTAGTACCCTTTTCAATACGGTTCAAGTGCCAAACAAATAGCTTTGTCCACGGTACCATCGGCCTCATCCGTTATTTTCCTTTACTAGTTTCTTGCTTGTCCACTGCTCGTCTCAATTTCCATGTTGGAGGTCCCAATGAACGACTGAGGCCAACTCCAGGCCCGTTCAGCCTCGATTTCGGGCGGATGTAGATGAAAGGAGTGAACATGTATTGTGTTAGCATTGTGTGTGGCCTAGCGTAGTCTACATTGGGTGTATCATAGCTTGTACCATCATTGCTTGTACCAACCAATATGGAATGATTTACGACTCATCACATTGTTAGTGTTGGATGACCTATGTATCGTCTCAAGCCAACAGAGTACGCGGTCAACATTGGACGCGGGCAAACGTGGCTCGATGGTCTCACCCAGTGGTGTGCAAACACTTTGTGCGTCCCAGCCCAGCCTAGTTTGCATTGGGTGTTGGATCATTGGTTGCACCAACCGATATGGAATGACCCATGGGTGGTCGGATTTTCCATGCCAGACGTGAGTCATTCCATTTACCATTTCAAGCAAAAGAAGTACGCATTCAAAATTGGACGTAGGTGGACACGGCTGAAAGTGGTGAATGTATGGTGTGGGAGCATTATGTGCATCCCAACCTAGTGAACATTGGGTGGATCATTGTATGCACAGACCGAGATGGATTGATTCACGACTTGTCGTAGTGTTCATGCCAGAGGCTTTAATGACCGGATCATCCTATCTCCGGGCCCATTCACCTTCGGACATGGGTGAACATGACTAAGAGATGTGAATGTGTGTTGTGGGAGCACTCTATGCATCCCAACCTAGTTTAGTCTACATTGGGTGGTTTATTCCTTGCATCAACTGAGATGGATTGACTCATGGCTCGTCGTAGTGTATATGTCGGATGTCTCAATGACTGGACCAACCAATATCTGGGCTCGTTAAGCCTCGGACGCGGGCATACACGGTTGAGAGGGGTGAATGTGTGGTATGGGAGCACTGTGTGTCCTAGCCTAGTGCACATTGGGTGGACCATTGAATGCATAGACCAAGATGGATTGATTCACGACTTATCACAATGTTCGTATTGGAGGTCTCAATGACCGAATCAGCCTATCTCCGGGCCCATTCACCTTTGGGCGTGGGCGGATGTGACTGAGAGTTTTGAATGTGTGGTGTGGGAGCACTATTTTCCTCGCAGCCTATTGCACATTGGTTGGACCTTTCATTGCACCAACCAAGATGGATTGACTTATGGCTTATTGTAATGTCTGTGTGGGAGGTCTCAATGACCATATCAACCAATCTTCGGGTCCATTCAGAATTGGACGTGGGTGAACGCGGATGAAAGGGGTGAACGTGTAGCGTGGGGGAACTATGTGCATCCTAGCCTAGTGCACATTGGGTGGATCATTGTATGCCTAGATCGAGATGGATTGACTCACGGCTCATCGCAATGTCTGCGCCAGAGGTCCCAATGACCAGATTAGCTTGTATCTAGGTCCGTTCACCTTCGGACGTGGGCGGACACGACTAAGATGTGTGAACGTGGGGTGTCGGAGCACTGTTTGCACCGCATCCTAGTGCACATTGGTTGGACCTTTCCTTGCACCAATCGAGATGTATTGAGTCACAACTTGTTGCAGTGTCCGTGTCGAAGATCTCAATGACTAGATCAACCAATCTCCAAGCCCGTTCACCTTCGAACGCGGACGGACACGGCTACAAGGGGTGAATGTGTGGTGTGGAAGCACTATGTGCGTCCTAGCCTAGTGCACATTGTGTGGATCATTGTATGTACAAACCGAGATGGTTTGACTCATGTTTCATCACAATGTCTGTGCCAGAAGTCTCAATAACTAGATCAGTAGATCTCTGGGCCCACTCACCTTCGGATGTGGGCGAATGTAGCTGAAATGTGTGAAGGTGTGTGGTGTGGGGGCACTGTTTGTGTTGCATCCTAGTGCATCTTGGGTGGACCTTTCCTTACTCCAATTGAGATGGATTGACTCACCACTTGTCGCAGTGTCTATGTTAGAGGTCTCAATGACCATATCATACAATCTTCAGACCTGTTCAGCCTTAAACGCAAGCTGATAGGGGTGAAAGGGGTGAACGTGTGGTGTGGGAAAATTGTGTGCGCCCCATCCTAGTGCACATTGGGTGGGTCATTGTATGATTAGATCGAGATGGATTTACTCATGGCTCGATCGCATGGGTCGGAGGCCTCAATGACCAGATCAGCCTATCTCCGGGCCCGCTCACCTTCGGACGTGGGTGGACGTGGCTGATATGTGTGAATGTGTGGTGTGGGAGTATTGTTTTCATCGCATCCTAGTGCACATTGGTTGGACCTTTCCTTGCATCAGCCGAGATGGATTGACTCATGGCTTGTCACACTGTCTGTGCCGGAGGTCTAAATGACCACATCGGCCCATCTCTGGGCTTGTTCAGCCTCGGACATGTGCGGACGCGACTCGACAGGGGTGAACATGTGGTGTGGGAGCATTGCGTGCGTCCTAAACTAGTGCACATTGGGTGGATCATTGTATACACAGACTGAGATGGGTTGACTCACGGTTCATCACAGTGTCCGTGCCGCAGGTCTCAATATTTGGA